CGCTGGGGAACTGGCGGCAGGGGGTCGGGCCGGACCTGTCCAGCCGCCGACCGGGCCGCTGGGGACTGGCAGGCAGAGGCTCGCGGACTGTACCTGCCCAGCTGCCGACCGGGCCGCTGGGAACTGGCAGGCAGGGGGTCGCGGGCCGGACCTACCCAGCCGCCGACCGGGCCGCTGGGGACCGGCAGGCAGGGGGTCGCGGGCCGCCGACCAGCTGGGGACCGGCAGGCAGGGGCTTGCAGAGTGATCTAAGAAACTGCTGCTTTTGCCTGTGCTATAGAGGAACAGTACTAGATATGCACTTCTGAGTGCCTTCTCGTTGTGGAAGCCTGCGAGCATGACTAAAAGTATATTTATTTTACAGTAGAGCTCATTAGATCATTGCAGTATGCCATGGTCCAATGTGGTATTGCAGTACACAGTGGTGCGGATTTGGTTGCCAAGTATCTGTTCACAGTTATTGTTTTGAAAGCTATATCTAGTGCTCGATTTGCGGTGTGTGGCTGTCAACGTTCTCTTAAACCTTTCGATGTGTACCTAGCGCTGAAGCAAACTTTATTTGGTGCGTTTTGTAAAGGTGGCTCGATACCACCCACACTGCTCGGCCGGAGTCTGAGTTGTGGCTGTGCGGACGAGATCCTTCCCGACACCGCCGGCTCTGACCATCAGCTGGAGACCCGGCTGAAGGAGCTGAAGACGGAGAAGCACGAGATGTTCATGAAGCTGAAGAAGGTGCTGACCGAGGACGAGACGCGGCGTCGGCAGCAGCTGATGAAGGACGCGCAGCAGACGCAGCACGGCCCGCCGCCGGCCATGCAGCCGGTGATGCTGCAGCCTCCCATCTCTCAGCACGGCTCCGGCCGGCTGACGCTCAACAAGCACCCGGCCCACCACCCGTCGCTGCTGCAGATGGTGCGCTACCGTCCTCCGCGCCCGGCGCCGGCCTGGCGCCGCCGCCGTCTGGGCTGGGTCCAGACGCTCGTTTGCAGGCGGGGCTAGGTGTTTGAGCTGCGTTTTGGGCGCTCAGTGACGCAGATGCTCGGGCCACAAGCTGGGCGTCATGGTAATGCAAGGCTGTAATCGTCGGGGAGCCAAGCGATTGCCGTATGCACGCGGTTAGGGTGCCACACATTATAGGTCAAATTTTATCTGTAGATTTTCAACGGCCCTGAGCGCGATTATAAAGCTGAAGAAGAAGCGCGTAAACGCAAAGTTTTAATCCGCTCAAAGAATGGTTAGGGGTGTGTAACTTCGACCATTTCTGTCGTACTGTGTGCGAAATAACGGAGTGCTCCAGAAGACATATATGGAAGACATTTGTGGTGCTGCAATTATGCCACGCGGACACGTAACTTGACGTGATATTCTTATAGCATAATATTCTTGCGAAAGCGTACCAGGGCGCGTTTTGCTTGATAGCCGCCCGACCGGCATTCATGCGTTCGAAAACATGTCATATGGTTGGGCCGACACCATGCTTCATTAATCAGACCTCGCTGTGCGGTTGACGCGGGATCATGTCAAAATGGCCGCCACACGCCCGGTGAGGTCAAATCGATCTAAGCCGAGTTATTGCTTGATCACGGTAAAAATGACGTGTGCGGTTTTCTCAGCCGGCCTAACGCTCGCACCAACAGCTGGTGTGAAAATCAAAAGTTTGTGAGTCGTGTCCTCCTACACGGGATCGTACCTGGGGCTGCCGGCCGTGCGGCGCCAATGGCTGCTGTACTCCGGCCGCCTGCAGACGGTACGACCGCCTGCGCGCTTGGCCAGCAGTCGGCGGCGCGCGGACGGCGTGGCGGCGGATGTGGACGTGCGACTGATGGCGTGTGTGGTAACCTCAGGGCATGAAGCGGCCGCGGAGTCCGACGCCGCCGCGTCTCACCAGCAAACAGCAGGCGTACCGCCACGAGTACCTGTACAAGGGCCAGCCGCTGCCCTCCAGTGAGTGCCGGAGCGGTCTCCGCTCGCCGGCGGGCGCCGCCTCGTGATCGCGCCTGGGGGGGTGGGGGCCGGGGGGGTGGGGGTTCTGAAGGCGGTTGCGGCCAGCACGGTTAGCGGCCGCCGGCTGGAAGCTGAGAAGTCGTTAATCAGCCTTCAAGCAGAAAAGTCTTGTCAACGGAGTCTGTGTATCGTGCCGCACAGCCAACGGTCTGCTGCCGTGTCTTATCTCCAGCAGTCGCTGATTGTGTGTGGATTGTGCGTACGTACGAACGTTAGTGCGCGTGACGGTCACCCGGATTTCTGACCTTACCTCTATGTTCACCAGTGAGCTACGGCACGCTGTCGCCCCCTCCCCCTTGGGTTTTTTTTCGGCTCAGTCCCTGACCGTACTCTTCTGTCACCAGTGAGCTACGGCCCGTGTCGGCCGGCTACCCTCACGTGTCGGCCCCGTCCCTGACCGTACCCCTATGTTCACCAGTGAGCTACGGCCCGGTGTCGGCTTGGCTACCCTCACGTGTCGGGCCCCGTCCCTGACCGTACCCCTATGTTCACCAGTTGAGCTACGGCCCGGTGTCGGCCGGCTACCCTCACGTGTCCGGCCCCGTCCTGACCGTACCCCTATGTTCACCAGTGAGCTACGGCCCGCTGTCGGCCGGCTACCCTCACGTGTCGGCCCCGTCCCTGACCGTACCCCTATGTTCACCAGTGAGCTACGGCCCGCTGTCGGCCGGCCACCCCCACGTGTCGGTGGCTTCCGTGGCCAGGGAGGAGAGCCATCACCCGGTCTACATGGCGCCTTCGAGAGGTCAGCGCACCGACATTCAGTCACGTGCTCTCTGTCTCCCGTGCTCGTTTCGCTGCCTCCCTTCCGTACGCTCCACGTCTTCCATACCATCATCGACGTCTTGTTTTCCATCGCGTCCGCTTCGTCTTGCTGGTGGACCAGCCCGTGCTGAGGCGAGCGGCGTTGACGTGGTGTCTGGCGTTGCGTCGGCGTTGATGAAGCCTGCAGCCCGGCGCGGTGCAGACCGACCGCGGCGGCCCGCACCGCCGGCCTCGACGCCGCCCGCCTGACGCCGGCTCGTTCGCAGGCTACGGCATGGCCTCCCACAGCGTGATGGACGCGCCGCCGCGCGAGAAGGGCGACTACTACGGCGCGTCGCACCGGCAGCCATCGCACATGGGCATTCGCTCCACACCCATCCTGCCCGTGCAGCAGCCTCAGGTCAGTCTGGTGCCGCGCGCCCGCCGGCGCCCAGGGCGCGACGGCCCAGCCGCAGCGACAAATGGCATCACTTGTGCAGCTGCAGCGTCCCGTCGCGAACGATGTCGGACATTTCTCCCCGAACAACGCTCTCTTACGTTGCCAGCGATGTTTTGGCGTGCGCTATTGCTTCCTAATGATGCTGTCTTGTGATTATATCTTGTCTTTGCTCTCTGATGGGCTGCTGTATCCTGTTTGATCCCGAGAGCAGTCGCAGGCAACAGTTGGGTAACACGGTGATTGGTCAGGCGGCGCCCGGTGACACGCTCGGCCGGCCCTAATCCGGCGGGGGATGGTCTGCTTTCAGAGTGGCAAGTCCGGCGGCATCACGTCCGGGTACCCGGTGCGGACGGTGGGGCCCGGCGCCTACCCGCCAGCCAGCGGCAGCTCGCCGGCGGTACGTGCCACCAGGCCCAGCCCTTCTAACAGGGGGGGGGGGGGGGGGGGGGCAGTGCGCCAGATCTTTATTGCGCACAACGGCTGCCGTCGGTTCCGATCGTCTGCCGCTTGGGAATCTTCGTTTGCTCTGGCATTTTGACCTCTTCGCAATGTTCACGCTGTCCTTTCTGCGAGACGGTGTCGTGCCCGTTGTCATTGGGGCTGTACGCCGCACTCAGCAGCTGAGGCCATATGACGCCGCCCACCTCAGCCCGGCGGGATGGGCGAACACCCCGGAAGTCGAGCCCTCGTAACCCTGGTTGCCCAGGCGCCCAGTGAAGCCAGTGCGCCACCGGTACCCTGGCATGGTGATGTGTGTTCCCCTATGTGCTACCCCAGAGCGGCGCGCGCGACTCACGCCCGCCGCTCCGTCTGTTTGCCAGGTGCCGACGAGCCGACAGGCGCCGCCGCGCTACTACTGATGGTCAGCGCCTCTGGACCGGGCCACCCGCTCCGGGCCGGACCGGACGGGTGCTGTCGCCTCTTTCCGGCAGCCGACGGCGGGCCCGGCTGCGGCGACAGCCCGGCACCGGCTGACCGAGGGCCAACCTGTGGACCGGGTGTGATCAGGCCCGGCGGACCTGGTCTCGTGCCGTGGTGGCGGAGGGGGCGGAGCTGCCTGGGCGGAGGAGCAGACTTGGAGTGGCGGTACTGCACGCCTCCGGTGCGGCTCGTTGCCACTGGGGTCATGACGATGTGCATCTGATTTCTGAAAGTTTTATCCGAACCATTTTTGAGATGTGTGGGCTTCATTCCTATGTGATCGAATCTCTCAGCTGGTGCCGCACACAGTTCGAGGTATTCTTTGGATTGTGACGGAGCTTCAGTAAGAGCTCACACGTCTGGTCCCACCTTTTCAGGATTAAGGTGAACCAAGCACCGCTCGTTTTATCGTTGTGACAGTCTACTAGTTTGTTTCGTATGCGAATCGGAATGACAGCACGCTTAGGGAAGCGTGCGAAGCTGTTTGAGCGTTTGTCTCGACTTGACTGAATGAGATGGGCCCTAGGCTAGTCTACGCGAATGTCTCAGAATACATCAACGTGTGTTTGATACTGGTCTGGAGCAGAAGTACCATTGGTATGCACGGCCGCTGTTTTGAGCCGTCTCCGAAAAACAACACGCAGTGTCACATGCATTGATGTTTTTCACTATAACGATTTCGGAGAACGAGTGCGCTAAAACTAGATCTCAAATTTGTGACCATCCCCTAGACAGGGCCCTTATAGCTCTTATGGCATGGGGTGCCGTTGGCAGCGTGATATCACAGGTCAATGACATCGATGAACTGTCCGGGCTATCCCTGCCTCCGACGTCATCCTTTTCCTCCTTGGTGTACACTGGTTCCAAATGTGTTCAGGGCGTATCAAATACAGTGATTCTTTGAATACTCAATGTCCGGCTCACCAGTGTGTTAGGTACGATTTCGCCCCGTCATCACCAATGAACATGCCAGATACGGACGACCACAATGTGGGGATGGACATCATTGTGAACGAGCAGTAGGTTCAATCATTGTGAAGGCCAGGTGATGGTGCTGGCCGTGTTCCAAGACGAAAATAAGAGATGAAGCGTACAAAGGTCCCATGTAAAGGTTCAGTCATCCTGGTCCGTACCCCAAACCATTCGCGTGCGCAGATTCGTGGGCGATTTTGGCTAGAACGCGGCGCACAAGTTACGGACAGGTCCCCGGAAATGCAGCGGAGATCTAGGTGGGCCTGTCACAGCGCCAGGCTTTCCGCTGCGTGATTCCTTCAAACTTCTGAGCAGTGAGTGATGAGAAAGACGCCACGAAAGGCAGTGAGCGCTTAACTGCACTTTGGGGATGTATCGGCGAGTGTTTTGCGCTGTGCGGATGGGGGGAGGGGAGGTCGTTAAAACTGGCTCGTCCGTCTCGACTCGAAGACGTATGATATGGCTGGTTTTGAGTGTCCTGTTGACCAGGAGCGCCGTCAGCCCCGCCGAGGCCAACTGTCGGTACGCCGTAGGTAGCGTTTCGCTGGAGCGCGCACAGACACGAAACCCTGGCAGCCCTACCCACAGAAGCGCGCTGTGCAGAATAAGCGGAGCCTTGCGTTCGGCTCCTTATGACAACTGCTTTCAACTTGAGTCAAATGTTCGGACCATGACACGCTAAACTGGTCAGTCTCTAATAACAGACATATGTCAGTTTGCTGTCAAATACAGGGTATCCCAGGAAAAACAGACAGCTTTGAATCGTTAATATTTCAAATATCCATGCACATTGCGAACGCGAATGACACGCTGGGCAGCTGGTCAGCCACTTTCATCCAATGCGCCAATTTCCATCGATGCAAAGAGCAATCGATGTTAATTTGAATCTCTGCTGCGCTTTAAGCCTGCCCTTAGCTCTGGTGGTGCGCCACGCGTCACACGTGACCCCCGTCTCGCTCCAGCCACCGAACTGCCTGATCACTCTCTGCTGACGTGACGGCGTGGCGAGTCTCTGGTTTCACGGCTTTCGCAACCAGTCCTGTCGCTTTTGCCGGGTCCGATTCCAAGCCACACAACGCTTGTTTCGAACCGCTTCACATCGCCTGACTGCCAGTCGATGCACACCATTGGCTGTGCTGAAGCCAGAGGGACGAATAACGCCTCGCCCTCGAGTGTTGATGACGCACCAGGCGGCGCGCTCTCCGCTGTGCAATGCTGCTCGGCGAGCCTTATCGGAGACCAAACACGATTTTGAGCTGTTACAATAAAGCTAAACCGATGCTTGATTTCAAGATCTTGGGTACGACCTAAAACCCATAAACCGAATCTGGTTGACGAATTATGGTTTAGATTCTCGCTGCCGTAGAAGCCAGGGTGCCAATAGAGGAGTGGTTGACGCACCTGCGTAAACCAATCCGCGTCTGAGAAACCAGAGGTACGGGGTTCGATTCCCCGTGGTGCCCGCCCTACCTACCTTGGTAAGAGGCAGGCCAAGCCATATAGCTTCAGCAGATGAGTGGGTCGTTAAGTCTCAGTGACATGGCATAGGAGCCAGCCGCGCATGTGCGCGTTATGATCTGCTGGTGACAATTTCCAATGTCGCTCACTTTGTGTGTCAGCTTCAGGTCTTATTTTGCCACCCGAACGCAGCGGTCTTGTTGCAGCCCGACTCCCGCCCGAGTCGACGGAGAGCGGGCGTGCTCCGCAGCAGACCGCCCGTGCTCTTGCAATATCGGCCGTGGTGCTTCGACGTGCTTTTGATGGGCTGCATTTGCCTGCGAAGTTTTCAAGGCTGCTCTCCGCGACAAACTCCTGAATGCGGCGGGATACTACCTTTCTTGCCCTTCGCGCTTCGAGCTGCTGTTCAAATTTCTTCCAGTCTTGGCAACTGGTTTTATTTCCAAGCATAAAATCTTTTTTTATTTTCTTACCCACTGTGTTCGTCGCTCGGCAGCACGGTCCCCCGCAAATGACCAGCACTCTATTATCTTGGAATTGTTTTATACAAAAAAAAAACAAACACTGAAATCACTCTTACGAAATGAACGTGGATGTGGTTCCCCTTTCCCATACGGACCACTATTCCGAGAAGATACGTGTTTTTTTAGAGCGGGGGGGGGGGGGGCAACCGGCACGATGAAGACGAAACGCGTGTAACGTTGGACTGGAATCCCCGCCCGTGCATACAGGCCTGCGAGCTCCCACAGATTTTGCCCTTTTTAAGTGCATAATACACAGCTGGAGGCCATGTAGCCTTCTCCAAAATCATTACCAACACAGCGGTATTAGTTATATTTAAAACATCTTTGGATGCAAAAATATGTGAGTAAAGGCAGACATATGGGGCTGCGGAAGACTAGCAGCATAGAAATATCGGCCACGCCTGAGTTACAAAGGCAAGAATGACATCGCCGGTGTCATTTGGCCTCACCAAGGGGACGCGCGCGCAGGACCCAAAACATGGTCCACGTGCGCCTCTCTCCAGAAGGCACAACACCACTTGGCAGCTGACGACAGACACTGTACACAAAGGCACGTACGTACAATTCACGGAGGCGCGTCGTGCCGACGCCCGGCGACACAGCGGTCCCGAGCCACACCCCCGCACTGGGCCGCACTCGGCGCCCGCTGTAGAAGCAGACCGACGCCACACCCGGCGCCTGGTCCGTTGACCTCAGCCGAGGCCGAAGGCGCTGTGACCCTCGGCGCCAGTCATGATGACGTCCACCCAGATACGCATCGCCTCCGGACTGGGCGCCATCAGAAGAAGGTGCGGCTCATGGTCTTGACGCAGAAGGTGGTGTTGGGCGCGCTGCCGCGGCTCGCCTTCAGGTGGTCCACGTACACCTCCTCGATGGCCTGGCCGCGCGGACAGAGGGACCCGTCAGACGAAACAGGGATGACAGGGGAATCAGACGGTACGGGGACGGCAGGAGAGTCAGACGACACGGGGACGGCAGGAGAGTCACACGACACGGGGACGGCAAACGGCACGGGGACGGCAGGAGAGTCAGACGACACGGGGACGGCAGGTCCGTCAGACAACACGGGGACGGCACGAGAGTCAGACGACACGGGGACGGCAGGAGTCAGACGACACGGGGACGGCAGGAGAGTCACACGACACGGGGACGGCAAACGGCACGGGGACGGCAGGAGAGTCAGACGACACGGGGACGGCAGGTCCGTCAGACGACACGGGGACGGCACGAGAGTCAGACGACACGGGGACGGCAGGAGTCAGACGACACGGGGACGGCAGGAGAGTCACACGACACGGGGACGGCAAACGGCACGGGGACGGCAGGAGAGTCAGACGACACGGGGACGGCAGGAGTCAAACGACACGGGGACGGCAGGAGAGTCAGACGACACGGGGACGGCAGGAGAGTCAGACGACACGGGGACGGATTCGGAACCATTTCGAACTAGTGCACGCAGAACAGAACATAAAACAAACGCCTTGCTCCCCGGCGTGGACTAACCAAGCCCCGTCCAGTTCAGCCCTGACCCCGCCAACGTCAGCGTGTGCAGTTTACACACCGTCAAGAGAGCGCGTGAAGACACGGCAGCGTATGATGACGCGGCGCTTGCTTACTTATGATTACATGGCGCTAAGGCAACAAGCAGCAACCAGCTCCTCAATGACAACCGTCACAGATAAGCGTCTTCACAATGATTCTCGGGCGTTTTTAGGGACACTGTCACACGGTCCTGGACGAGCTGCAGCACGATCGACGTAAACAATGACGCCGCGGGCTGAAATCGCCATCATCACGTGGATTTTCCCGATGCAAAATGTTGATAGCCCTGTTGCAACAACATGACAGACGCAAACTATCCTGTTACCTGCCTCATCGGGCATAGAACACAACGCAGCCTGTATGCACAGCTCTTGCCTCCCGTCACTTCCGATCGGGAGTAAATGCGGGCCAACCTGCCCGGCGAATTACCTGGAAATACACTCCGCCCTTGACCTTGCTCTCCGACTTGTCAGCGTAGTACATGAACGTGCGCCGGTTTTTGCTGCGGTCGAAGACGAACCAGCGCTTTTGCCAGGACCGGAAGCGGGAGCTCAGCTTGTGCAGGTACCCGCGGCACACGTGTCTGCTCACCACCACCAGCGGGCACATCTCCAGCTGGTGACCTGGAGCACCACAGGGCACGGTCAGCATCAGGCTCGACCTCGTGGTGGCATCACAACCACGGCTGTCCTCCGCTGCAGGGGACGTGGCGACGCCCTATAATCGCCATGCGGACCGACCGCTCACGATGAACAATGCCACTATCCACTAACGTAGCGACGTGCCGTGCCAGTCCATGAGCACGTTCAGATCGCTGCCGTCACTGGCAGTCGCTGGCCGGCAGTGCACCCACGGCCCGCCTCCGGTACAGCGAAACCCGGCGCCTGACGGGCCGCGCCGGCG